CGAGCTCGATTTGCTCACTGCTGTTTTATCTTTACATGTGCTGCATCTCGCTGGTCGCTATTTATGTCATCGCAGTTAAACTCTCGCCGGCGTGCGCTTACCTATTTGGCCGCCTTTTTACAAAGTTTGATGCGCTATGATGTAGTGTTGACTACATATGCCGTTCTTTCAAAGGAGATTCATCATGCTACGCCCCCACCAGATCGCATCACACGTCACGAGAAGCGTCACGAGCGCCGAGTTAGCCCACTTGTTGGTATATCATGGTGGAGAGTCTGTCTCGACGAAGCTCAGATGGTTGAGAGTGGCGTCAGTCAGGCTGCTAGGGTTGCGCGACTCATTCCGCGTTGTAATGCTTGGGCAGTTTCTGGTACTCCACTTCGAAAAGATGTGCAAGACTTGTTCGGTCTCCTACTTTTTCTCAGGTGCGACTATTTCGCCAACAAGAGTGCCGTCTGGAATTACATGGACAAAGCTTCTTTCAAATCCATCTTCGGCCAGATTGCTCTACGACACAGCAAGGACAAGATTCGTGAGGAGCTCCATCTCCCTCCACAGAAGCGTGTCGTCATCACTGTGCCATTCACTGCCATTGAAGACCAGCACTATACCGAGCTGATGCGTCAGATGTGCGACGCTTGCTGGCTCACCCCTGAGGGACTTCCCTTGCAGGAGGGCCGGGACACAAGTGATCCCGAAGTCATCGAACGGATGCGAGAGTGGCTAGTGCGGCTACGGCAAACGTGTTTGCATGCCAATGTTGGCCGTAAGAACAGGAAAGCCTTCGGTGCAAGGAACGGCGCTTTGAGGACAGTACATGAAGTTCTTGAGATCATGATTGAGCAGAACGATACGGCTTGGAAGTCTGAAACCCGCGAGATGATTATGAATAAGATCAAGGCTGGCCATGTCATGGCATTCGCTGGCAATATTGAACACCGAGCGCGATCTGCACTGACACTGTATGAGGAAGCTCTGAAGGATACGCAAAGCTACGTGGAGTCATGCAGAGCGGAGCTTCTCCTCGAGCGACAGAAGCTGGGGAAGTCCACTTCAGAGCAGCCAGATGTGCTAACGACGGAAGACCACGATACAAGCTTGGACACGGATAGTGAGGACTTAGGCCGGATACCGGTCCTTTGCAAGTCCCTTCGATTGTTTCTGGAGCTCGAACACGCTTGCAAGTTCTTCATTGCTACAACGTATCATCAAATCAAAGAAAAGGAAGATCTCGACAATCCCAAATCCGATGAGTACCGTAGATACGAGGAGCTTGAAGTATCATGGTACGAGCAAGCCAAGGCTATTCGACGCGAGCTCTTGAAAGAGTCTAAGGGCAGGGCTCAGCAGCAAATGGCAAAAATCAGTTCTCGAAAGCCATATTATCAGATCAGCAAAATTGTCGATCTACCGGGTCTTGGTGGTATTGAAGCACGCAGTATTCTCGAAACCATGGATAACATTAGCGACTACCTGAATGCCCAAGCGAAACAAATTCATACTTGGCGGATGAAAATTGTGGACATCTTGTTGTTGCCTTTAGTCGACGATGACGATGACAAGGACATCACAGGTGATGAGTACGACGATTCACTCAAATCTCAGGATGAGCTTTATGTGTACATCATGGCTTTGCGTACCCTGATTGCAGATCGCGGCGCTGCAGTGAACGGTCTGCGGGACACGTTGGTAGAGCACGAGATGAAAGCTGCAGAGAAACAAGCCAAGGGAAAAGAAAGCAATGGCGAAGAACGTGGTCATGCTCCTGAGCTGGTCATCGAAGTCGCAAATATCAGGCGAAAGCTACAAGCAGGTCTGACAGGTGGCTCACTGAAAGGTGTGGTCTCTGGTGTACGCTCGCTGATCACGGGGCTGCAATGGCGAGCAGACAGTGGCGACACTCGTGCGAAGGCAGAGCTAGATGTCAACCAAAAACATCTGGCTCGAATCCAGACGATCGCTACCCAGCAGATAAAGACCATCGCCGAATTAGAGAAGGAACAAGACATGTTTCGAGGTACCATGAACCAACGCCTAGAATATTATCGCCAGTTTCAGCGCATCTCCGATACAGTTGCAAAATGGAAAGAAGACCTCGACGAGACTTTTGACCAAAGCGAATTCGACAAGTTCGAGAGTTTACACGCGCAGAAGAAGGACCTAGTCGCTGTCTTAAAAACCAAGAATACGTATCTTACCCATCTACGGACTGAGAACCAAAATGAAGCAATGCCCGAGTGCATTATCTGTCAAGACGTCATTGAAATTGGTGTTATCACAACCTGCGGTCACAAGTATTGCAAAGAGTGTATAAACACCTGGTGGCATCAACATCGCACCTGTCCCATCTGTAAGAAAAGACTTTCGTCGAGTGAGTTCAAGGACATCAGCTTTAAGCCCAAAGATATGAAAGTGCAGGAAGAAACTACTCAAGTACCAAATACATCGTCAACAGCCACGCAAGCCTCGACACCTGGAGACGCAGGGACATCGATATACTCCTCCATGAGCGAAACCATGTTAAAAGAGATCAAAATGATTGACCTTCCTTCCTCGTACGGCACGAAAATCGATTCAATTGCGCGCCACCTCTTATACCTACGCGCCAACGACCCAGGCGCAAAATCCATCATATTCTCTCAATTCTCCGATTTCTTGGTTGTCCTACGCGGTGCACTGCGTAGCTTTAAAATTGGGGCTTCGAGCATCGTCGAGCGCGACGGTATCGCGCGATTCAAATCCGACCCCAGCGTTGAGACGTTCCTTCTAGACGCCAAGAGCGATAGCAGCGGTCTCAATCTCGTCAATGCCACCTATGTATTTCTCTGCGAGCCGTTGATCAATCCGGCATTGGAGTTGCAGGCTATTGCGCGGGTGCATCGGATTGGGCAGAAGAGGGTGACGGACGGTGTTTATGTATCTTATTGCTGATACGGTGGAAGAGGCTATCTATGAGATTTCGGTGAAGAGGAGGTTGGAGCATATGGGCCGAGGGAGTGGCGGCGCTGCCGATGCTGTAAGGAAGAAGGAAGAAGATGGGGAAGACGACGAGATTATGGGGCAGGATGGGGGCAGGGGAGAGAGGGTCAAGGAAGAGAGTCTGGATCAGGCGAATTCAAAGGAGTTGAGGGATGCATCGGTCAAGCAGTTGTTGAGGAAGAAGGGCGACGGGGAGATTGTGAAGGAATGCGATTTGTGGAAGTGTTTGTTCGGCAGGCCGCGGACGGCAGCGGTCGCTCGACCGGTTGTGGAGAGGGACGTAGGGCGGTTGGAGCGGGTGACTGCGGCGGTGAGTAGGGCGACAGATGGTAGATTTTAGATTTCTTGCCCCTTTGTTCTCCTGAAGGAAGTTTAGGAGCATGAGGAGGTATGGTGACGGTGATGATGTAAAGCAGTCATGTTGGATACCCTGCGAATGAATAGGAACATGTATAATGCCATGATTATGAAGGTGAATATGAACAGCAAATTCGAGAGCAGGGACGTAAATTCTGTAAGTACTATGATGACGCAGCACAAACGAAATATGAACAAACGAGTGAGGCAGGCCTGCCTGATGTGGTATCATGTTGAAGCAACGCAATGTAGAACAATTTCATGTCCCACCCAAAAAAACTCACCCTACCATTCCCATCCCCCTCCCAAAACGCCAATGTATCCCAAAGTATACACATCATCATCTTCATTAACGAAAGAAAGAAAGAAGTCAAAATTAAAAAACCCCCAGCAACATCGTTCCCCTCATCAACCCTCGCACAACACAATACCCACCCCACTAAAGCCTGGTACCCCCCCACGCCCTAACCTCGCCCCTCCCCTGCTCATCAAACCCAGCACGCTCCATGAGCTTCGTAAACGTAGTATCACTCGTATCACGATGATGGCGGGCGGTATGCGGGAAGCGCGGGGGGTCGAGGAAACCGGGGGCAGGCATGAGGACGTCTATTGTTTCTGTGCTGTGGAGGCGGTTGGGGTCTGATCTGGTCTGGTTGTGGTGGGTTGGGGTGAGGAGGGTGCGGCGGGTGCCTGTTGTGGAGGAGGAAGGGGTGCGGCGTGGGGAGGAGTGAATGCGTTTTGGTTTTTGGGCTGGGGTGGCGTAGGGGTCTGATTTTGGGTTACCGGCGCGGATGGCGGGGGCGTTGTGGTAGGGGTGGCGGGGGGCGGGGGTGGCGGGGAGGCCTGTTTTGTTGGTGGTGGTGGTGTTGTTGGAGAAGCCAAAGTTGAGTTTGGGGGTACGGTCCCACATGCTCTTGATTCGAGGGGTGAGGCCGTGGATGACGGTGTTCCTTGGTGTTTCTTGCATGCCTTGGAGGATTCGGTCGGTCGAGTTTGGGCTGGGTTGTATGGAGGAGGAACCACGACGCATGAAGTCTGTTCGTGCGGCAAGAAGGGATGGGTCGTAGATGGGATCGCTGATTTGACGCGCGACGTGGCCAAAGTCGCCCGAGTACCGTGGTTTGGATTGGGATTCGCGGCGTTTACGGATCAGCCAGATGAGGGCCAGGGTGCCGAGTGCGCCGATGACGATACCGGGGAAGAGGCCGGCGGCGAAGGACTTGCCGTCAAAGGATGGTTGGATGGAAGCGGTTGCTGGAGCTGGACAATTCGATGTCTGAGAGGCGGATGCCGGGTTCGTGGAAGAAGATGTTGGGCGGGGAGTTGATGTTGGGGATGCGGATATGGGGGGTTTTGTCGTATCTTTGGTGCACATGTTGCCATTGCAGGTATAACCTAGTGGACAGCACCTGTCACCGCATTTTGGTAGGCTGATGCCATTTGTGTCGGAGAGGTGCATTTGGTTGTCCGGGTGGAGGGTTGCATTCAGTTGGTTAATATCGCAGGTGATGGTCTGGATGAAAGCACAGTCTTGTCCTGTTGGACAGCATATGACTGACTGTACAGTCACGCTGTTTAGAGACATGCAGGTCGTGTCTTTTGGACAGCAGAAAGAGGATGGAAATGTAGGTCCACATTGTTGCAGGCTGTCTTTCCCTCCACACACTGCCGCTTGTCGAGGCAGGAGGCTCGATGCATGTACCGAGGCGACAGCTGAGACGGCGAGGTAAAGTATAGATATCCTGGATAGCCGTGGAGCTGGCAGAGAACCTTCCATACACGAACGGGGCATCACGTATACTCGCAGGGTTCAC